GGGATACAGTGCCAAAACTTTAGACTGTCCCATCTACAACTCTGGGTACATAAAGAAGTACTGTACAGTTACATTACAGAAAAGGAATATAAGAAAAATAGTTAAGATATTGCTGAATTTATTTGCTTTGCTCTGGTTGTTCTCTTGTTTTTTTTTTAAAATACAGAGACCTAATAACCCAGCATATTAGTACTGTGTTATTCCCTCTGAGTTTTTCTTTTTGTAAAACAATTACATGCACATTTGACACTTCAAGTACCAACTGGCCACTCCCTAGCATACAGCCAACAGATCAGCCTCTAATTTCATGAGCCTTTGTCCAAAGATGGGTGTCATCAGAAATCAGTTTGTAGTAGGCAAATGCTTGCTTGCTGTTTCAATTAATTTGGGGTCTGACAACATTAAAAATATGCAAAGCCAAATATACCTTACATTTTGGATGGATAATGGTCTGCATCTCTTGTATTCATCAGGTATTGTATGACAAAATGGACATACTTAAAGCAGGAGAAAGCCATGCCTTTCAACTTAATGAGAATATTTTGGGAGAGGTTTCTGACATCTAAATGAAATGTAGCACATACGTGACTAAAAATATTCTCCCACCTCCTAAAAAATGTTAGCAATGTCACCAGCCAACTTGTAGGTTTATTTCTTGGCTTCCTATTTATTGCATCTTTAGGTTTCTGTTTATAAGAAGCTTTTGTTGCCTGAAATGTTGTGGCATGAGCTTGGGTTACAAAACTAAATAGTGTGTTTAGAATGATAAATTTTTACAATAACAAATCATATGTTATCTTTTTCTCTGATGGTAAAACAGAGAGTAAGAAAAATTGCAATGCTTTGTGCTTGTGGGAATCTGCAGTGTTCTTTTTATTGCCAAGTGGAAGCCAATTAAAATGAATTGTCCTGGAAAAGCTTCCCATTCTCTCGAGATGATCATCCATCTAGATGGAACACCTTTCATGCTTCCATGAGACCTTTCGCATATTATTGTAGGAGAGAGGACCTCGTGCTATTTAGCACTGTACCACCCATTTGGTTAAGCATTACCAGTGCTACAGTGTTGGATCTTCCAAAATCTGACATTAGCTCCTAGAACTGATACAAAATTCCTAGAGTAATAAAAGCTGAGTTTATGAACAGATATTCTTATAGCAAAGAATGGGCTGAATCCAGATACACCAGGTATCTTCTGCTAAATTTCACGATGTGGCTTTACAGAAGAAATGGGAAACAGGTATGTATTGGCAGAAGAAATCCTATTAGACAAATTGAGACAGGACACAGCTGATCCTAAAATGGGTGGGTAACTATTGGTCAGGTGCAACTAGTTGCTTTTCCTGGAACTGCACTCCTACCCCTCCAGAAATGGTTCCCCACTATAATAGGAGATGCTTTAAAATAGTCTTCACCTGATCTATGGAGACAATTTTGAAGTCTCACTGTAACTTGGAAGAATGTTACTGAAACAGGAGTAGCAATGTTTGATAGCCAATCTCTTCCTTTGGAAGTTGTCTCTTAAACTGCAACTAGATTTTTTTAAACAATCTCCTTTAGCTTAAGATCCCTTAGCTTAATGCATATTTTCCTATTTCCATCCCCCCCCCTGTGTTTTCGCACAAGTGCAAGGTCTCCCCCCCCCCAGATCATCCAAATGTTGACCCATTGGTTGCAACAGAAATTGCATGAACGTCAGACTTGGGTGACAAGCCGGTTGATCAATTCCTCACACAGCCAATGGAACAACATTCAGATGATCTGAAAAAATGGAGCCTCCATTTGCAGGAAAATGCTAGAGGGGAACAAAAGTGATACCAGAGGACATCTTCTTCAAGGAGGCGGCAACTGGGGCAGTGATAACACCCAGGCCTCCCATGAAGCTTCTTTTTGGCTTTGGCTCCAAAGCACAGCCCTAACTTTAACCTATTCCTGGGGTGGAGCCATGGTGGATGTAGAAGATGGACTGCACTAGAGCTAGAGGCATGGCCTGAGACACAGGGCAAAGTCTTACAAGGAGATTTTTATTTGCCCTATGGATCAGAGATTCCTTCTGCCCTCTATAGACCATCCTTCATTTATTATAGCACAATGAGATTTCTTGCTGAAGTGATTAGCAACTGCTTTCCTTCCACTCTTCTTTCTTGGGAGTTAACTTAAAAATTTGGCATCTTGCCCTGGTTTTCTCATATTACGTTGCTTGTCTTCTGCATAAAGGTATTTTTCTCAAGCTTGAAGCAAGTCAAGGTGCACCCAGAACCCCACATCTTCATTATGTAACCCGATCCATGCAGCTCGTGGTGTACTATCCAAGGGAAAGGTTTGCTTACCTGTGTTTATCAGAAGCAATGGGCCAATGGTGATGCAGATGTTGAACTACAACAATTAGGGAGCAGGTTCAATAGTGTGAGATGTTAAAAGTTGTAATTCATCAACATCTGCAGGACCTCACTAATTCCCTACACTGGTACTTCAAAGTGAAGATCTATCAGAGATAACAATTACCTCTACAACAATAATTTCCTAATAGGTGTCTTTTAAATGCATTCTACAACCTACTCCCTATTTATAAAGAAGTCCTTTACTTATAAGGAATACTAATACTTCTTATCTTAGAAAGTTATATTGTACAAAACCTCATTCTCTTTGAAATCCTGATAAAAGAAAGCACCAATCAAAATTGAATATTAAAAAGGAGTCAAAAAGTATTTTGGAACAAATGAAATAGCACAGACCTGTTGAGCATCAATTCAATACCGGTGGTTTCCTAGCAATATTTTGGGGGAAAGGGAGGGGCTTTGACATGAGCTGGTGAAGAGCTGCTCATTAGATACAGAAGAAGAGATTGGGAAGCCCTGGAAGATGATACTCAAACTAAATTCTGGTTGGTACCCATTCAGCTTATCCAGACAGTTACTTTTATATACTTTCCTCCCTTCCGTAGAGCAGCAGGAATACACAATGAACTCAGATGGGCTTTACCTCAGGGCAGGGCAGTTTGACCTTTCCCTCTGTATTGTGAGCCAGTTTCAGTGCAGCTGTTGGTGTATTCCTGTCATCCTTTCCCTCATCCCCTTGACTTCTCCCACTAGTGGGAAGTCTAAACACAATCACTCTCCCAAATATCAGTGAGGCAGAATTGGGGACTTTAATACTCCTTAATCAGCTCCTCTGATTCTTTTTTCCTTCCTGCGAAATCTATTAATCTTCTTTGAGAATGATTTCCCAGTGTCAACAGCTGTCAAAGGGAGACAGTGGGAATATTGATCTCTCAGTCTCCTGGAAAATGGGAGATCAAAACTTTAATCTTGTGGCAAGAAAAATGAGGATTTTTGAAAGCTGTGGCCCTGGGCTTTTGCTCCTTCCCACCCACTTGTAAATCATGGGGCAGAGCACTTTCCACACAGGTTCAAGCAAAGCCAAGGGAAGGAAATCATGGGAGCTGTGAGTCAAAGATCTAGGGCTGGCTTTCCAAGCAGACAAGCATTGAGTGAAGCAACAGATGGAAGAAGAAACCACTTTCCTCTGTTTGCCTTTATGGGACTTGTTGTCCAAAGAAAGCTGTGCTTGCAGTTCTAGATCCTTCTCCAAAAAGGTTATTTTGACCTGTTGATGCTGCTCTGAATTTCTGCAACTGACAACTGGATTAGATAGGTTGAATCATCTAGGCTGGGCCCTTCACCTCCAGCTTGTCAGCTCTTCGGACCAGCAGCTTTCCTGTTACCCTGCTTCTCTGCTGGCTCCATGTTGTCTGCACACAGGTAGAGCGTTGCCTCCCTTCCCAGTACTGCATGGGCAAGGACCAACAACAAAATACAGGCCAAAATGAAGGACAAGCAGCCAGTCAGTGCCAAGCAGGTGGAAGGCTGCCTTCCACTGGCAGAAGTCCCAGCTCTGCTCTGGGCCAGATTTTCTCCATCTGAAAATTCCCACACTTTGTTTGGGTCTGTAGTAAATTTGGCCGACTGCTCATTTCCAGGTGATGTGCCTCCTGGCAAAAAGGGCATTTGATGCCCAGTGCAGGAGATGTTGCCTTGCCAGTGATGAGCAACAGCTTCCCTGTTACCTATAGCCATCTTTGTCTCCCAGCCCTTCTCATTCAGCTTCTTCTACAGATTCCTACTTTTGTGAAAGCAAGAGATCCCTCCACAACCCATCTGTCCTGTTAGTTCCAATGTTTTTTTAGGGTTTGGATGTGGAAACAGAAATTCCCTGGAAAATCTGTTCCCAAGTCCAATCTCCACAACTCACAGAAATAGGCTACACACGAAAAGTATCTGGTACTCTTATAACTCTTACAAAGGGCATTCTTGCAGCGGATCTACTGGGCCAACTGGAGCTAAGCAGATTGCTGTCTCTGACTGTATCAGCCCTCTGGGTGGTCAAATTGGGAAGCTTTGGCTGAGAAGGGGAGGAAACACCACTTACAAACCAAATCAACAAAAGCCAACTTCGGACTGTGGTGGCAGGCTGGAAATGTCATAATGAGAACATGGAATTGAGGATTTTTGAGGTATATGTGGAATTAAGTTATGTTTTGGGCTTCTGGTTCTTTCTAGGCAAGCCATATTTTCTGCATATGCCCATTATTTGGAGGGCAGACAACAAGCCTTTCCCGGTTGCCCTCTGAAATCCAGTCCCGTTTTCTCTTCCCTAGGCCAGTAATAAGAACACTGCAGCTCAGAGAAATAAATTATAGCAATAGAACACATTTCTTTCCCCCCCCAAACATTTACATGAAATATACTGGCTGGATTTTAACATGTGTCCTCTCCATCTCTGATCTGTTCCGTGTAGAAGGCACGACTCCAACATACTGCTGTATGTACAATTTGAAAGCGCTGCAAGACCCCTTCTTTCCAGGTGGTCAATCAAAGAGCCTTTGGGAATCATAATCATGGCTCTCTCCCATTATGGCACTTTCCCTTTGTTGCTGCTTTATATGGTTTTGTGCTCCAGCATTTCCTCCAGGAGGTCCCTCAAGTCCACAACCCAAGCCTTCAAAAGCTCTCCACGAAGCTGCCGGGGAAGAGGCCTGACCTGCCATTCCGCTGTAACGTCCCTTTATACCAACCATCTTCCCTTTTCTTGTGGACGAACACAATGTCACCCTCCTTCAGTTCAATCTCAGCTTCACTCTGCGGGGGATACGGGACCACAACACGATATCTTCCAAGAAAGAAAAGAAAAAAGCCTTACTGCAGATACGGTAGATCCATCCACAAAGCAACATGTTTATGACTGATTTATTCTGTGCCATCAAGTCAACATCAGCTATTGGCAGCCCCAAAGATAGACCTACTCAGGATTAACCATCATCACTGACACCTTGCCATTGTGGGAAATGCACAGAAGAATCAGCACACCATACCAGATTGTGTATGTGTGTGCAAAGCTCGCAATGACGGCACAATGTGGCATATATACTTAATGTTGATTGCATATGTGTATTTATTTATATTCTGATTTAAAATTAATTGGCAAGCCCCTGCCCCCAAATCTGATTATCAAATCTTTATATATGCATATGTACACATGTAATAAAGTTTGGCATGAGAGATCTTATTTAACTGAAATAATATTTCCTATCAAATTGTCTATGGCAGAGATGCTTCTCTTACATTTAGGATGCATTGCCAATTTCAACTACATGTAAATACATGTTTGCATTATTCTAAACAAGTGTCAACGGCATTATTACATTATAGCAGGTTTAGCTAGAACAATGCCAACTAATCTTGCAACTCCATATGCACGAACAAAATGAGAGAAAGTTAGTCATAGTTCACTGGACTATATCATTTTGGATGTGTAAACTTCTCTTTCCCAGAATTCTTTAAACTGATATGCATTGCACTGATACAACAATCTTGACACTGGTTCAGATTCCCCAAATGCTTTAAAAAAATGGAAAATCAGTGTTAACAAAATTTCCTCTGAAAGGTTAGACATATTTCCAATTGACAAATGATGAAACTTTAAAATGATACATATATATGCATACATACTTAGAGACACGTGACTATATATCCCTTGTGTGTGTGTGTGTTTTGTTCAAAACATGGCACAAGTAACTAGCCATTAAGTCTCAGGAGAATGCTCTGCTGCTTCGCCAAACTAGGCTAATGCAATGTCAGTAACTAACCTATAGCAGGGGTATTTCTGTGGCAATCTATATCAGCTCTCACAGGGAAAAAACATCCAGGGACTTGTCTCAGTTCTGTTGACATGTTTATGCAAGTCTTCAAGATGACAGGTGTTGCCTGAGCAATGACTCCAGCTTGATTGCACAAAGTTGCCAGAGGCTTGCATGCATGACACACAAGGCTATCTAAATTAGGCAACCACTGGTTTGGTTGTTGCCTTCCCTGATCTCCATGTCCTCCTATTAACTCCCCCTAATCTTTCTAACATCTTCCGACTGACCTGTCCTGATTCTCTCTGTGCCGACTCCTCCAATGACGTCTAACTGGCCCACTCAGGCCACATCTTCCCACTTTTTCTCACTAGGCTGTTCATACCCCTGTCTTCCTAGTATCTTCTCTCTAGGAAAAAGATCTTCTTAGCAGCCTCTCAGACACCCATCCTGATTTTCCCAACATCCTCCTCCATCCCTAGTGTTGACGATCTTCTTGCAATTTCCCATTTTTAGTAGAAAGAAAGAAGTAGCAACTGATTCTCATAAACCAGACAAAACAGACTAGCTAACATTCCTGGTGACATATCCTTGCGTTATTGTTGTGTTTTGCCTCTGAATGGAGAGTTACCAGTGCTGATGCAATCTATTGCTACCCAAATTTTTTTCTTTGCCTTTCTCTCAACTCCTGTCATAGCATTATGTGGACATATCGAGAAAGATACCTGAAGGCAGAGTGCCTGGTATGGCAGCATTATATGTTGCAGGAGTTTGAAAGACAACAGCAGCTTCTGGTCACGAAAACCTTTAAGGGCTTCCACTATAATTGCTTATATTTTTAACAAGCAACATCCCTACATAAAAAATAGTCATGTTTGATTACACCATTATGGACTCCATCTTGAAGTTTTTGACCAGACTCTGGACAATACTGAATTGGCTAGAAAGGTCAACTTTTTGTCTACCCTAGATTTTAAAAAACACCTACATAAAATCCTGTTTACATGACCTTAAATGTCTGAATTCATAGCATGGATTTATTAGGGGTTAATTTTAACCCAGGCTGAGGAGACCGAAATTTTGGTCATCTGGAAGACCAATCTATTTTTTGATTTATCAATATATCATATATATGTGACAATAAACAAAGAGGCTGAAACTTGAAAATCTCAAAAAGTATATCTGCTACTGCTGTTATTTGCAGTGAATAGTAGGACTAGATTTGGTACAAGAGTTTGTATGAGACTGGATAACGTGTGTCAAAATCAGTCTTGGCTGTTCCGGGTCTTTTCATTCCAATTTCAAATATCCAATACAATGAAAGTATTTTTTTAAAATTCTAATCCCAATGAAAGCTCTAGGAGTGACATTGAAAACCAAAGTTTCTGAGAGCAAAGATGTCAGTTTTGTCAACTATCAGTTGTTGATCAGCTCTCTGGCAAGAAGGACAAGGAAAAAAAATCGGCGAAGCTATGGGGAAGGTGAAATAAAGGAACACCAGTTTGTTTGGTTTCTAGTGGCTTCATGCAAATAAGCAATAAAGATTTCTATGTAGCCTTCCTGTATTGAAGGGCTGGGATGTTTCTGCTGGGTTTAGCTGGGTAGCCTGACCTAAGCTAGTTGTTTAGCTTCATTCAATATACAAGGAGGCAAGGAAACATCTCAAGGACAAAAATCAGAGATAAAAACATGTTTCACAACTTCTGCTGTGGGCCAAACAAGAGAGCTGGACAAGCCATTTTCCCTCACAGTAATGAAGGCTCCCCTTAATTTCATCTCCCTGCATGGCCATTCACTAGGAACCTTTGTTCCAGAGGTTCACTTCTGGAGTTCAAACCAGATGGTGGCAAAAGTGCATGAAGAGATGCGTAATAAGATTAAGAATAGCAGATTCAGTGCATTTTGCTTTTGTACCCGTTAATTCTTTCAGTTGGATCCCAATCTTTGTTTTATATCTGCACTGGGTGGATCTGTTTTGAAAGATAAAGGAAGGCAATAATTTGGAGTTAGTCCAGTAATTAGATATGACACTTATGAATGAAACATGAAACCTCTAAATGCAGAGTAGTGGGGTGTACATAGTAGTGACTGGTGTCATGTTGTAAATTGGCAGTGATTCTTCATTATGGCTCAGACGTGTACCAGATGGGGCATGAGGCTTTGGATACACATTTTTTAAAAGCCATTTATGACTATATTTATGAGACCAAATGGATGTGGAATGAACTTCCAGATTAATATAGCTGCTCAACTAATTCCAAGACTAAGCTCCTCACAAAAAGATGAAATTAATATTCCTCACTTATTGATTAAAAATATACAAACTATTAGGGATAAAGATCAACTGTGACTTTGTATTACATTCCACCACATCAACTCAGAATATGAATTGATTTAATTAATAAATCAATTAGAGAAAATCCTGATTCCTAAGTACAATTAAGGTAATTTCAGCTAGAGGTTATTCTTAGACTTGGTTGGCAATCAAAATACTGGATTAACGTCGATCCTTAGGACACAAGTGGGACACTTGTTTTGATCATTCTCCCCACTCTCAATATTACAATCAGTGGGATGAATAAATCTCTTTGCTTTCCATTCTGGAAGAATTCTTATTGATTTGCTTTGATAATAGGAAAAAAAACCAAAACGAACTGCCAACATAGTCTTGCTGTTGAAACAATCTTGTGCTGTGATATAAAAAAAATGGCCTTAACTGAAAGTATTTGGAAATGCAAATCTGCAAATAGCGAATTTTCATTGCATCATATTTGTACTTAACGTCTTACCTTTCTCGATTCAACGGCTTAGCTTCTGGGTGGCTGGTTGCCACTGAAGGTGGCAGTTGCCTTATGGGAGAAGGAATAGAAAAATTCAGATCCAAAGATCCCGTCTTTCTGTGCAGAGGCTCCATCTCCATTGCGCCTTGCATTTCACTCTCGATAGGGCACGATCCTGCCCTCCCATGGCTAGAGAGAGAGGACAGTTCAGGTCCCATCGCGCCCTGCAGCATCCCTTCCACTATTGCCAAGGGGTCGTGGGTTGGCGACATGGAGGGAGGAGAGCGGGATTTCTTTTTCGTGGATGCTCCTGCTAGAAGTTTCAAGAGTCCGCTTTTCTTTTCTTTCTGCATGAGGATCATATAAACCATTGAAGAAGGTCTGATTATGCAATTGAAGCAAACCCCACCACCTATTTTTCATATCCACCCACATAAAAGCTAAGTAGTCTTGCAGCAGGCAAAGTGTGGACCTCTGGGAGTATGCATCTGTGTGTGTTTTTTTTGTGTGTACACGCATAAGTACCTAGGTGTGCATATGCATATAGTACAAACACAGATATTCATCCAGGTTGTTCTACTGAAGGATTTTATTTAGGCAAAAAAATAAACAAGAAAGCAAGCATCATTTACACATTATCTTTGCAAAGACGGTTATGTCCTTATGGACTGTAAATGTGATGTTCAGTACTGCAGTTGGTATTACATTTCATTGCAATAAGGACAAATGATTCATCCCAGGGAGGGAATAGGCAATTCTAAACTGCTGAAATTCGAAAAGGCAATAATGTTTGAGTCTACCCATGGGGGAAACAGAACACTGAATGTCTAAGTCCTTGGTGCAACAAGAAATTGGTTGTCCCTACAAGCATGTTGTTTCTCTGCTTATTTCTCTTCCTTCCTTCCTTCTGACTGATCCCAGCACTGGGGCCTTTGTGAGATCAGAACATGAAATCAATAGGTTCTTGCAATGCACAATTTTCCCTTTCACCAGATCTTTTAAGCCAGCCTTGACAATATCACCTCTAGCTGACAATGATAGAGGATCATTCTGACGAGGGACGATGGGAGTTGTAATTGAACATACAAGCAAGCCCCATGCGGTTTTTAAGTTTCCGCTAAATATTTATTTTTTGTTAATTTAATTGTCTTTCCAGGAAGCACAAAGTGGTACATGGCTCTGTATTCTCCCATTTTGTTCTCGCATTAGTTCAGTCTCACAAGTTAAGCTGACAGATGGTAGTTAAACAGTGGTTATCCCAGTTATAATCCATGGGTAGTCCTCAACTTAGAACCAATCACTTAACAACTTTTGAAGTTACAACCATACGGAAAAAAGTGATTTATCACTAATCCTCATAGTTATGACCGTTGCAGCATCCCCATATTCACGCAATCAAAATTTGGGTATTTGGTAACCAGCATGTATTTATATGGTCACCTTATGGGACGCTGCTAGCTGGCTTCCAACAAGCAAAATCTTTGGGGGAAAGCCAATTCGTTTAATAATCATAGAAATGGAGGACTACTTGTAGGTTCCTTATCCTTAGTCTGTCACTTTAAACATGGCTTTCTATTCCATTTAATTTCAACTTTCAATTTAGCCAGCATATGAGAGAGAGAGAGAGAGAGAGAGAGAGAGAGAGAGAGAGAGAGAGAGAGAGAGAGAATACAAATAAGCATATATAGCAATCCATCTTAAATCCTATTATAGAGCTCTTGCCAAAGCCTTGATGATAAGTAACAAAACGTGCTCTGTAGGTTGCATAAAATCTTATCAGTGAGCAGAAAATCAACCTGGAAACTGTCTAATTTTCCGGAAACGGCTGCTAGAAAGGGAAAAATAAGGCTTTGTTATAATGTTATATAAAACCTGCAATATAAAAGAACACATTTCTTTCATTCTACCTCTGGCGTGCCACAGGGGCAGAGACAATGTGCTATGGGGAGTTTGTGATACCTACCCCGTAAGATGCTGAAGGAAGGCATTAGAATGAGCCCAGAGTTTCTAAAAACAATTTGTTTACTGCTAAGAATGCACAACAGAAACTCTTTTCTGTGTCTGTATAGCTCTCCACATATGGTGTATTTCGATGTTTTCAAACTGAAGTTTGACAAAAAAAATCCCTATTTCATAATATTACTATAAGATAGAAGAACAATGTGCAAAGTCTTAGAAGCTTATTTGAATGACACATTATACTAACCCTCCCACTTTTGTCATTTCTTTTATTTATTTATTTTTCTGCAAACTCCCTTTAAACCTGTTAAGCAAAGGCAGCAGCTTCCTTCCAAGCTATTGGCGAGATGTATAAAATATTTAATGTTAATCAAGGCAATGTGTTTCACTTATTTATAGTCTCATAGACTTATCAAATCAAATCTTCATTACGGTCATAGATCAACATATGCAGACGTATTGTAATTCACAGTGATATCAAGGATAGGTTCAATTATTATTTTCCAGTGTATTTAACTTGTTGAGCCTTATATCAAATTGGATACCAAAATAATACATTTTTTTCTAACACTGAGTAGAGTTAATTTATGGCCACACATTTATGTACTTATACACACATTTATACACAAATACTGTACATACCGGTGCCACTTAACAAGACTAAGAATGCGTAATCTGATGGCCTTAATGCAGTTTTCTTGATAGAAGAGAATATTTGTAGCTCAGGATTGAACTGTGGAATCATGGTGCTCTCTGAGCTTGGTGGTTTTCCTGCAGATGTTTCAGTACCAAACTAGGTAACATCACCAGTGCTAGCACCAAGTTAGAAATGAAACATCTGCAAGAAAGAACCTCATAGGTTTCTTTTTCTTTTTAGTTTTCTTATTATTAAAATTTATAAGCTGTCCGACTCCCAGGGATTCTATCTCAATCACATTAACCTACCATCTGTTTCTATATATTTTATGGAACTGATATTCCCAGATGTTTCTCCTGCTTTGATGTTAGTAAATTTCATCCTGATTTTCAACAGTTGTGGCTGTGGGAATCAAGAGTCCACTTTTTCCTGGCGGGCAATACAAAGTATTCGTCAAAACAACACTGGAAAACTGTATCTAATCAAAGGTTTGTTACAACTTTTGTTCTTGCTTTTTAAAAAATTGGTGAGTCTACCAAGTTTGGGGTTGGGGCAGCCAGCTGAACATTGTTTTGCCCTAATCAGCTTAACGGGATCCAGACCCAGATCCAGAAAAAGTAATAGCTTAATAATCTTTTGGAATGGAAACAAATACAGTATTTAGACCATTTGGCGAGACCATCTATAAAACGTTGAATTCAGGAAAGCCATCAATTGCTGGTTATATTAGGACATCTTCAGATGTAAGATAGCTCTCCTACATGCTGTGACTATTTACTGTGCAAAATGTTTTCTTGATGAATTAGGCATTTTTTATGATTAGTATTGAGGTTATTTTACATTAAAAAAATCTTGTTGCAGAGATGGAGCATTCAATCAGCCTATAAATCTGAGTGATGAATATTAATTCATTAGAATGTATTCATTAGAATTAGGCCATTACCTACATGAAGGGTTTCTGGCAAGGGATGGCCTGCACCTCACAAGAACAGGGAAGAATTAATTGGAAAATGACTAGCTCAGTTCATCCGAAGGGCTTTAAACAAAAACTGAGGGGGGAGAGTGACCGATCTTTAGGACCTAATTCCAAGCATAAATTGCAAGATGACCAATCAAACAAGAAGGCAGGGAGTAATGGGAAGGAAGAAAAACTCAGATACAAAGCAGGAAATGTAAGAAACATATCCAGGGACAGCCATAAAGGACTCAGATGCCTATACACTTATTGCTGCAGCTGCCAAAAAAGCCAGTGAAATCCTAGGTTGCATGAACAGAGGGATAGAATCGAGATCAAGGCATTAGTAATGCTTTATAAGGTCTTGATAAGCCCACACTCGGAATCCTCCATCCAGTTTTGGTCACCTCAATATAAAAAAGATGTTGAGACTCTGGAAAGAGTGCAGAGAAAAGCAACAAGGATGATTGGGGCTGGAGGCTAAAACATATGAAGAATGATTGGGTGTTTCTAGTCTAGTGAAAAGAAGGACTAAGGGTGACATGATAGCAGTATTCCAGTATTTGAGGGGCTGCCACAAACAGGAGGGGTCATCCTAACTTCCAAAGGACCAGAAGGCAGGAAAAGAAGCAATAGATGGAAACTAATCAAAGAGAGAAGAACCTAGAATCAAGGAGTGAGAACAATAAATGACAGTGAGAACAATAAATCAGTGGAATGGCTTGCCTTCAGAAGCTGTCGATGCTCCATCTCTGGAGGTTTTTAAGAAGCAATTGGGCAGCCATTTGTCTGAATTGGTATAGGGTGTCCTGCTTGAGCAGGGGGTTGGACTAAATAGAAGACCTCCATGGTCCCTTCCATTTCTGTTATTCTATTCTTTCTTAATTACTATGTGTAAAAAGGAATAAAAAAAACTTGTCTTGACTAGTTCTATTCTTCCAACCTAACCTACAGGTCTTTGATGAGTTATTGAAAGACTACCATTTCTTTTTTTTGATCAATTTTTTAAATTAATTTTCTATTATTACATTTGATTAGTGCTTAATAAACATTGTGTTGTCTGGGTTAATTTGTTTGCTTAATAATACAAGTTACATTCTTAGTTTCTACTCCTTTTTTCCAACCATTGATAAAATAAATTCCATGTTTGAAAATATTCTGTATCTTCTTTCTCTTTGATCCTCAACGTAAGTCTGTCCATTTCAGCACAGTCCAATATTTGATATGATATTGTTGCCATTACGGAAACTTGGTGGGATGAAACCCAAAAATGGAACACATAGCTAGAGGGATTTAAATTATTTAAAAGAAACCAGATCAAATAAAAGAGGAGGTGGAGTTGCTCTCTATATAAAAAATCACTACATCACTACAGAAATAGAGCACAACAATGATGAAAACTGTCTTGAATGCATTTGGATCAATATAAAATGGGAAAATGACATTGCCATAGGTATATACTATAGGCCACCCACCAAACAGAGGTAATAGATGAACATTTTGCTAGTCAGTTAAGTAAGGTATGTAGGAAGCAAATCACAATAGTAATGGGGAACTTTAATTACCCTGACATCAATTGGGAGACAAACTCTGCACCAAGTGCAAGATCAAACAGATTCCTGACAAACCTAGCAGACAACTTTGTCTCCCAAAAAGTAGAGAAGGAAACTAGGGAATCAGCCATATTGGAATTAATTCTCACTAACAGAGATGAAATGATAGAAGGTGTTGAAACCACAGGAACCTTGGGGGGCAGTGATCATGCAATATTGGAATTCAACATTATGCAAGCACAAACAATAGAACACAGTCAAACTAGAGTCTTGGACTTTAAGAGAGCTAATTTCAACAAACTTAGAGAGAGCTTGGGAAGGATTCCATGGATGAGAATCCTCAAGGGGAAAACAACTCAAGAAGCTTGGGAAATTTTGAAAAGTGAGATTATAAAAGCCCAATACCAACAAAAAAGACAAATAACAGCTCTCAAAAGAAGCCAGCATGGCTGCATAAAGAACTCTCATAAATTGAAAGACAAAAAGGATAAGTATAAAAAGTGGAAAGGGGCACATAACTAAGGCAGAATATTAGCAAATAGCCCAAGCCTACAAACATGAAGTGAGGAAAGCTAAGGCTCAAAATGAACTAAGGCTTGCACCAAAAGTAAAAAATAACAAAAAAGCTTCTTTCAACATGTAAAAAACAAGAAAAAAGTTAAGAAAATGATTGGTCCACCAGTGGGAGAAAGTGGCAAGAAGGTGACAAACAATAGGGAGAAAGCAGAACTACTCAACTCGTTTTTTGCATCCATATTTACACAAAAGGAAAAAATAGTCCAACCTATCAAAACAGTACTGTAAAAAACAGATTAGAAACACAAGTTAAGATAGGCGAGAAAATGGTAAGTGAGCACCTGTCCACCCTAGATGAGTTCAAATCACCAGGACCAGATGGATACCCCAAGGTTCTGAAGGAACTGGCAGATGTGATCTCAGAACCACTGAACTATATCTTTCAAAGATCCTGGAGCACTGGGGAACTACCAGAGGACTGGAAAAGAGCTGATGTAGTTCCCATCTTCAAAAAAGGAAGAAAAAAAATGGATCCAGGAAACTACAGACCTATCAGCCTGACCTCAATACATGGGAACATCTTGGAAAAGATAATCAAGCAACAAATCAGCGAACACTTAGAGGCAAAGAAAGTCATTACCAAAAGCCAACATGGGTTTGTCAAAAACAGATCATGCCAGAAAAATCTTATTCCATTCTTTGTCACCATCCAGGTGACAAAATTAGTGGACCAGAGGAATGGTGTGGATATAATTTACTTGGACTTCAATAAGGCATTTGATAAAGTAGACCACTTGATAAGATAGAAAAATGTGGGTTAGACAGCATCACAGATGGATTTGTAGCTGGCTGACCAGCCGTACTCAGCATGTGGTCCTCAATGGAACTGCATCTACATAGAGGGAAGTGTGTAGTGGGGTGCCCCAGGGCTCAGTTGTAGACCCAGTGCTCTTCAACACCTTTATCAATGATTTGGATGAGGGGATAGATGGGGAATTCATCAAATTTGCAGGCAACATCAAGCTGGCAGGAATAGCCAATACTCCAGGGAGATTTCTGCCCCACGCTTATACTAATGGAAGTGGTGAATTAATCTTTTTATGGAGGATCAAAATATATGAAAGTGAAATAAATATAAAAACTGAAATTTAAAACTTAAATCTGGATAAATTTAATATTGTTGAATGGTTAAGACTCTCATTCTAAAGACAATTGTTCATTTTGGAAATTGAAAAACAAATAGATGCTGACACCTAGTGGTGGATGAAGACTATGACAGCTATGTCTTTCATATAAGACTTGGCAAAACCTGGGAAAAGCTAATCTGTGTTTGTGATCTTCAAAGCTTTAACAACAAAGAACAGCTGTAATCTTTTTTGAACTTCTTGGATTACAAATATCTATTTAACCAGGACTCTAAAGCTATTTGCAGAGAAAAGAAAAGAAGAAAAAAACTCAAATTCTTGGCCATCATGGATCAGAGACACGCAGAAAGAACATATCAAGAAAACATAAATACTCCACAGGAGAAAATATATACTATACTGCAACTAATTCAAACAACAATGATTTAAACCACAAAGAAATTCAAAATAACTTTGAAAATATAAATCAATCTATTTCCAAGTTAACTCTACAACAAAAAAAATCCCAGAAAACAACAACAGAGAAGGAGCAGATAAAACAGGTGAGTAGATACAAAATAGAGAATAGAGACTTAAAGATGGAACTTAACAAAACAAGGAAACATAATTTAATCCTAGTGGAAAAAAATTCACAAGAATTGGAAAAAACAACTTATCCCTTAAGATTACAAAATAAATCTGAGAACAAGAAAACAGATTGGATAAAATGGAGTGTAGAGATGTTAGGAACAGCGGAGAGAAAGAAAAAGAAAAAGATTTTCAACAAACATGGAAAGGCAGAAGCCCCATACAAAGACACTTCATCTGATTTACTTTTTATATCTACAGTAACATTTATGAACATATGGAAAAACCTTTTGACTCAGCAAAATACATTGATCAAGAAAAATACTGGGCAAAGGAAAAAGATTGGAAAAGAATGGAAATCAAGAAAATAGATGATGGGACCTACCAGAGAGAATACTTTAAAAAGAAACATTTGTTTGAATATGGTTAAAGAAATAGAAGAGATTTGGAATATATATGCCATTCTAAGAGGGATGAATCCCTTAAATAATATAGTATGCTTCCCCCCCTTTTTATTCTATTTCTTGATATGAGTAATATAAAAAATATGAAATGGCTTAGATAAAGGAAATGTTTTAGATATTTAAAGTTGATTGAATTTAAGAAAATTATAATGGATAAAAATGTTTTGAATAAGAAAGGACTAGATGACTAGATGTATTAAATGGAATATTTAAAGATTAAACATATTTTTTAATTATGGTTAAAAAGAATAAGAAATCTTGGAAACAAATATATATTAGCTTGGGGGATATATATTTTAAGTAGTATGTTATTTTTTATGTTTCTTTACTCTTGCTCTCCTTTCTTTTTTTTACTGTTTTATCTATTCCTTAAGAAATGTAAAAGTGCTGAGATGGTTCATATGGAAAAAATAGACTTAAATTTTTAAATGTAATTAATTAATACATCTTAACCAGTAAGAATACTTTGAATTTTGTGGGAGAAACAAATTTAAATAAGGACTGTAACAGGATCTATGATAAGGCAACCAGAATGACTGGATAGAAAAGAAATATTATATTGATGTGATTATTATTTTTAGAAATATTGGGAAAAATTATATATTTAATTGTTATGTATCAAAACAATAAGAGTTGTATTAACTCAACGTTTGCAAAAGAGGACATCAACTAAAACCATTATGTGGATTATGGATTATAGAAATTAATTGTTAGTGATTGTTTTACAAATGTAAATCCAGACAACACATTGTTCACCAATTATTAAGTGATTTATGTTTTTAAAAATCAATAAAATATATTACAAAAAAAGATGTAGATAGATAAAATATGATAAAATTATCACTCCTACAATCTACCCCAATCAGTCTCACATATGCCGATCTCAGCCGAACCATTTTGCTCAGGTACTGTGCTGTGTTAAATGTAATTTTCAAATTCTGGCCGCACATAAGGTAAGTTATTTTGATATGGAGGTCCTAATGGGTCATTTGTTTAATGTATAGGCCAAGGTACCCTCTTATACAAGCAGCAGTGAAATAGGATGTGAGCCAGGTCCTCAACTCTGTGGCTCCACAGATGCAGAGACATTCATTATAGGGTATAGGGTGGAATCTTCCATATCTGACCATTGTGTCAAGCTGTTCAAATCTCGCTCGTATGAATATTTCCCTAAGATGTTTTGGCAGTTGTAACTTCAAATAGCTGTCTGCTTGAAAAGTGCATTCGTATTTGCTCAGCCATTTCACGTTACCCACCTTACTAAGGATGGCTATGTCGTTTTGTGCTTCAATATCCTTAATTCTTTGGGCAGCTCTTTTTTTAGATCGTTCCCCTGTTACACAAGAGACAGGAAGGCCACAGCTTCTTACAAAATTTGTCAATTTAGTGAACCAGGAAGTTTGTGATCGTAATTTTATCTGCTCTAGTAGGCATAACTTGGGGAGTCTATCACTCTCCATTTCATTAATTTTATGCTAGTAATTATATGTTCTAATTTTGGATTGAGCATGAATTGTGTGAATTCCCAGTTCAGCTCTAACTGCTGCAGCAGATGTTCTTGGATCTACACCCAAAATACATCTCAGGTGCTGGGTCTGCGTTTGTTCTAGTGTTGTAATTGGGTATATACCCCAAACTTCTGCTCCATACAAAAGCACAGGAGTAACCTTAGCTTTATATACTCTGATTAATGGAACAAGGGACCCTGGATAACTATGATTCTTTAATTTAAGCAGTAGGTTCAAACAAACCTTTGCTCTAAGTGTGCTCCGTTGGTGATGGCAAGTCTAAGATCCAGTCTTGGAAAACGTTATGCCTAAATATACAAAGGTGTTAACCTGTTCAATTGGTTTACCATCTAATTGCCATCTATGTCTCTCATGATATTTTCCAAACACCACGATTTTTTATTTAGATTTACTGATTGTTAGGGAGTTGTCCTGGCAATAGGAGTTAAACCTTCTTAATAGCCTACGCAATCCTACTTGTGAATATAATAGGGTCATATCGTCGGCAGACAGCAAGCTATTACAGTATGTATTTAGGATCATCGGCATATGTACCATGGGATCCTTCATTAATCCTGCCAGGCCATTAATGTATAGATTAAATAATAATGGGGCAGGATACACCCTTGTCTTACCTCTTGGTTTGTGTGAATCCTGTTAGTCAGGGCCCCATTAATTCCATACCGCACCTTCAAACAGGTACTAGTGTAAAGGGCTTTAATAAAAACTAGCAATTTATTATTATTATTATTATTATTATTATTATTATTATTATTGTTGTTGTTGTTGTTGTTGTTGTTATTATTATTATCATTATCATTATCATTATCTTCTTCTTGATTATCTCTTTGTCTAGTGGTTTTTCTTCTTCCAGTCCTGAGCAAATACAATCCTCACTGCTGTTAATACATGCATTATTAAATATACACTTTGCTTATCAGATTTTTCTGGTATTATACCAGTTCAGGTTGAAAATCTATATGTTTTCCTAACAGCTTTTCTAATCAAATGTGTATTTTTGTCCAATTTTTTTTTGCTTTAACACAGGTCCACCACAAATGATAATATGTGCCAGAGTTTTGGTTACATTTCCAACATTTACTAGACATATTTTAAAACATTTTTGCTAATCTAGCAGGTGGTAAGTGCCATCTATAAAACATTTTATAAAAGTTTTCGTTATAAGATGTTGCCATTGTCAATTTATAATTTCTTTCCCAAATATTTTGCAATTTCTCTAATTCTATATTATATCCAAAGTTTTTTGCCCATTGTATCATTGTATTTTTCACTTGTTCATCCTCCATTTTCAAATTTAATAGAAAGTTATATAGTTTCTTAATCAGTTTTTCATCAGATGTCAACAATATCTGATCAAACATTGTCTGTTCTTTATAAAAGCAATATATTTCCACATCTTTATTATATCTCGATTGAATTTGCAATTGAGGCCACCATGATAATTCAATACCCTGGTCTAAAAGCTCTTGTTTAGATTTTAGTTTCCATTCAGTATCCAAAATATCCTTATATGTCAAAAAAATTTCATATTGCACTAAGTTTGGGTAAACAAATGCTTCCATTGTTGAAAGCCATCCTGAGATTTTCAAATAGATTTTAGCTTTTCCCACACAGAAAGTAGTGAATTTCTTACATAGTGGTTTTAAAAGTATCTATAAGTTTTATTCTTCTCATACCATAGAAATACATGCCATCCTAGTTGCAGATCATGTCCTTTTAAATATAACAGTATTTTATGTCTAAGAATTATCCATTCTTTTAGTCATGTTAAGATACATGCTTGATAGTATGAGATCCAGTCTGGTAATCCAAATCCTCCATTTTCTTTGGATTCTTGTAGCATTTTCAGTTTAATTCTAGCTCTCTTTCCTTGCCAAATAAAATTTGAAATCAGTGTATTCAAATCATCAAAAAATTTCTTCTCTATTTTTATAGGTACTATTTGGAACAAGAAAAGCAATTTTGGTAATATATTCATTTTCACAGTAGCTATTCTTCCTAACACTGATAGTTGTAAGTTTTTCCATTTTTCCAGATCTAATTTTATTTGATTAAGTAATTTTATGTAGTTATCCTCTTTTATCGTTGCACATCTTCCTATTAGGTATATTCCCAAATATTTAACTTTCCTAACTATTTGAAAATCCATTTTTTCTGACAATTGTTCTTTTTACTTGGGTTTTTAACTATAACTTTTATTTTTTCTCTGTTTATCTTCAATCCTGCTACTTCTCCGAATTCCTCAATCCTTTTCAATAGTTTAGAAGTTATCTCCAACGGTTCTTCTATGATAAATACCAAGTCATCTGCAAACACTTGTAATTTATAGCTTTCATCTTTTATTTCCATTCCTTTAATTTCTGGGTCTTGTCTATGTTCCTGTTCAAAACTTCCAAAGTCAATATGAATAACAACGGGGATAGTGGATATCCTTGTCTTGTACCTTTCTTTATATTAAAGTTCTCTCTGTAGTCCCCATTTACAATTACTTTTGCTGATTGTTTATGATATATTGTCTTAATTATATTTATAAACTTTTTTCTAAAATCCATGCAGTTTAATTGTTGTGTCATAAATTGCAAGCTTACATTATCAAAGGTTTTTTGAGTATCTAAGAAAATTAGTGCCATTTATTTTCCTGGGTGCATTTCATAGTATTCTAATGTATCTAAAATAATCCTTGTTGTGTTTTATTTGTCTTTTTGGTAAAAATCCATTTTGGTCTAGATGAATAAATTCAATCAAAAAATCTATTCAATCTCTCTGCTATTATTGAGGGGAAAAATTTGTAATCCACATTCAGTAGTTGGTCTATAATTTTTTATCTGTAACAGATCTGAGTCCTCTTTTGGTATTAAGGTGATATTTGCTTCTGTCCATGTATTTGGTAATTTAGCCTCTGATAATACCTCATTACAAACTTCCTTCATTGGGGAGCTTGAAAACATTTATAGAACTCTGCATATAGCTCATCTGGTCCTGGAGTTTTATCAATTTTTTTGGTCTTTTTATAGCTTCCATCAGTTCCATCATTGTTATTCTTTCATTTAGCATATTTTTAAAGTTTTCTGGAATTTTTGGTAAATTGGCTTTTTCCATATATTGTGTTGTTTTTTCCATATAATTTTTTTCTATATCATATAGTTTTTCATAATATTCTTTAACTATTTTTTTATTGCCTCACTTTGGAGTTGCACATCTCCCTTCTCATTTTGCAGTTTATTTATAAACTTTTTCTCTCTTTCTTTTTTCAGTTTATAAGCCAGCCATCTTCCCAGTTTATTTGCATTTTCGAAAAAGTTTTGTTTTGCCCTTTTGATTTGTTGAACCAATTCTTCTGACTTTATTAGGTTTAATTTAATTATCTGTTTAATTATCTCCATTTGTCTTTTAAGGGTTTTCTTTTGTGGATCTCTTTGAAGTTCTAGCTCCAATTTTTTAAACTTTACCCTTAACATTGTACACTGTTGCCTTTTCTCTTTATTCTTTTTAGCCATGTAAGTTATAGCTACTCCTCTTAAGTGTGCTTTGGCTGTATCCCATACAATCTGAAGTGTCTTCTTTTTTATTTTCTTTAAAAAAAAATCCATTTCCTTTACTGCTATTTCTGTAAATTCTTTCTCTTTTAACAAGGATTCAATTTCCATCTTGATTTCTTCTTTACTCATCTCCAGATCAGCTTTATTGGATTTTGGTCAGCTCAAATGTTGGCTTTTATCTCAACGTCATGTATATTAGTTTTTAACTCAGGGGACATCCATATCATATCAGTTCTAGACCATGATTTGTGTCTGTTCGAATAAAATGTATACTGAGTTCTTTTTTCGGTTCATTTCTCTCCAGACATCTTGTACGCAGATTTCTTCTGCCATTTTAAAAAATGCCTTAGCTAATCTCTTCCTTCTTTTTTTCCCTGTTTTACTTCTGTGGTAATCTAATTTTTCATCCACAATTGCATTAAAATCTCCTACTAAACCACAGGTCGGCAACCTGCGGCTCCGGAGCCACATGCGGCTCTTTGAGCCTTCTTCTGCAGCTCCCAGCCTCTTCTGCCATTTGCAGAGAGAGACAGAAACAGAGAGAGGCACTTGTGCTTCCCTTCTCTCCCTCTCTCTCTCTCTCTCTCTCTCTGTGTGTAAAAAGAGAGTGGCCTCACCCTGTTCGATGAGCTGAAAAGCTTATTGGGCGAGGCTCCTCCCTTTGCTGTGTCTCTGCAAGAAGCAGGAAGCAGGAAGGGGAGGAGAGAGCTAGCATGTTGCAGAACAGCTTGAAGCCAGCTTGCCAGGTGAACAGAAGATTGGAGAGAGG